TTTTCTGTTAACATTAAGTTATTCTACCTAAAAGCTGTTGGTAACTTTCTAGTGTGTCTTAGAATCAAGGAAATAGAGTCCTACAAAACCATGACATCCACCACATAGGCTTAGGTCTAACTTGGTTCAAATCATGTCCCTGTCCCTGATTATAACAATTACCTTCAGTAACAGCTGGATAAGCAATGTATAAAAGGTACCAGTCCTGCTTCCTCATGGGAGTAGTTTAAAAAGCATTCCATCACTATCTCATAAAACACTGGCGTAGATTTCAAAGGCAAATTAAGCCATATAAAAACACTGTGGTGCTCTGAAAATGTACTATCCCCTCAGCACACTAGAGAGGGAACATTTTACTCACATCCTCCTGATCTATCTAGCCTTGACACATTTTCTTGCTTAATTCACAACCCTCCACCCCAGTAATATCACTGATTCCCAAAATACACTCAGCCCAGGAGGAGCAGCTCTCCAGCACAGCTGTCTTCTCCTGCCCTCCTCGGGTATTTCGGTGAGCTATGCGAAAGAGGACCACAAGAAGGAATGCAACTCTCAGGCCCCACAGTTCCCACTGCGCTACAGGCAGGTGCGTCCCGCCAAACCCCAGACTGGCATTCGAAACAGAAGAAACTGCTCTGCTGGATGGGGGCTGTAGTTTTCCTGAACTTCATCTCTATGTTTAAAACTGGGGCAACAGCCGTCTCTGCCACTGTAAACTAATCTGATGGGCATGGGGGCAGGGAGTGGCTCTGAGGAGGCTGCCAATAGGCCATGATTGAGCAAAGTCAAGGAGCAAAAGCGTTATTTCTCACTGTTCGCAAGCCCAGAAGCTCCACATGACTGGCTCCTTCACCATGATTTTTAAAAAGTGGACAACCCAACTGTTTGCAGCTTGGAGTAAAAAAACAAACACAAAACAAAAACTCAAAACCTTTTATACTGGGGAGCTGGCTTATAATTATGCATATTTTCTAAGAGTATATCTGGGAAAGATATCTGGGAAAGAGTGGGAGAGAGGGAGAGAGAGAAAGGGACAGAGAGAGAGAGAGAAAGGGAGAAAGAGAATATTAAAGAAAGTGGACAGTGAGGTAGACAGTAGCTAGGAGCCCTCAAGTTGAGGCATGTCTGCTAGGAGCTCTGACTGTGAGGACCAACTCTGACTTGAGTCCAGTTTCTGCTGGAAAAAGAAGACAGTCTGGCACCCTCTTTTTATTCCAAGACCATGGACGGCAAGCTGGGCAAGTAGATGGATAGCAGGCATAACCGAGGAAACTGCACATACGCTCGAGCCCCTGTCAGGGGACTGTCCCTCACACACTCCAAGTAGCAGCCTCAGGAGGCAGGGTCATGGGCCTCAAACCTACACCACGGAAAAACCTCAACTCTCTCTTCTCATCCTTCTGTCCCTACAATGCCCAAGCTCACTATTTCCCACTATTCGGGTATTTCATGGAATATACAAAGATCCAAAATCAAATCCTCCCAATACGCCTCATTATACAAAAAGTATGCATTCGTTATAGATGATTATCAGGTCTGTTTTCAAACCTCATATTTAACCAAGGCTGTAATGCTATTTAAGAAAAAAAATGCATTTTAACGAGCACTGCAAGATGCTTATTCACAACAACACACCGGAAGCACCGGAGCTTCCAAACTCAACCTTTTCTCCCCTCCGTCCACGACCTTCCCTCCCCTCGCGCATGGCCAGGGCAGTCGCTCTGCCCACTAAAAGGCCACTATGCATGGCGATGTCCACTGAACAGTAGCTGATAGCGAAAGGGCTGGACCCTGCTCAGCAAAACCGATTCCGAAAGCCCCACACGCTCGTCGCAGTCGGTCGGCACAGTCAGACCTGTTTCCCAAAGCAGCCAGGGCAGGAGCGTGTGGGGAAGGACCCTGGGGTCCCAGGTTTGGACAGACGGAACGTCTCCGTTCCTCTGGGCTCCCCTCGCTCTCTGCCTTGTCACTCTTTCTCTGGCTTATCACTGGGGAAACCAGAGAGGCCAGGACGTCAGGCCCGGAATGGGAAGCCAGAAGGGCCAAGGACGCGCGGAAGGTAGCTCAGCGGAGAACACCAGGCCAGGGCGGAGGTGCCGCAGCGCCACGTCCAGGGGGTAAGGACCCCAAGGTGGGTCTGGAGGGAGGGAAGCAGGGAGGGACGAGGAGGGAGGGAGGAGTGGTTGGGGAGGCCCGGCCGCCGAGGCCGCGGGGAGCCCCGAGAG